CTCCCCACTGAAACAGTTCTTGTCTCTGTTGAATTTCCAGTCGTCTTTGGTTTCGCACCGATTCGTGCTGTTCATCTGTAACTAGCAGTGCTGAAGTAATGAAAAAAAAAAAAACAAGTTTAAATTAGAGCAGTGGATTTACCTCTTTCTCAATTATGTGACTAGCGGTCCCCAAGGAGGGAGCTCCAAAAGAGGGGGAAATAAAAGCAGTTATTCAAAACCCCCAAGACAGCAATATCAACCTTTTATTATCCAACTGCAGCGAATACCGTCCAAATAACAGTACAAATATACAGCGATATTGTACAGTTATTTGTACAGTAGAAAACCCGTTTGCCGGACTGGTCGACGCGCGTACGCAAACCTGTCACACTCTCCCTCTTTCACTGATAAATTTATTGACTACAGTAGTTGGATAATAAATCTCTTATTAGATGTTTTGGTGTGTAGTATCGCTTTATATTTTTACTCGTTGTTTGTATTTTGACGAGCCCGTAGGGCTCGTCAAAATACGGCACAACTCGCAAAAGTCTACAGCGATACTACACACCAAAACATCTAACAAAATATACCTGTAACTCCAAAATATTTCTTTTGAAGTATAAGAAGACTCCTCTTATCTTAATTATAAACCCCATAAGATTCTCTTATGGGGTTCACCCAAAAATCACCAATATCCCCGCTACCCCCCTTAAATGCCAATATAATACCCAAATATCTCCGCCTTCAACTGCCTGTCATTTTTATTATTTGTACTTCTCTAATTTTTAGGGTTGACTCGGGATCGAGCGGTCCGGGTTCGAGTCCTTGGGCAAGACACTTTACCCTTGAAATTTTTTTCTCACCTAGGAGGTACCAATTCTTACATAACACATTATCTCCTGTCATATTATTTCGGCTTAATTACCCTAACAGGTACCGCAAAAGCTCCGCCTGTGGACCTTTTAGGGCTGAACATCCTAAGAGGTATCAAAATTAACCCCCAAAAGGTGCGAGGAGCACCCCTGTCTCTTTTATATGGGATAGCCCCACCGAATCATTTATGGTAAAAGTTGAAAGAACGTTTTCGCAATGCCTACCTTTTCCTTCAAAGAAGATCGACTCACTCTGCACCCATCGACCACAAGGGAATTCGTAGAGCCTCTGAGGATCTTGGCTGCAGGTGATCATCACTTTCTCTACAAACCAGTCACTAAATAGTCCACCCTGATCATTGTCTAGTTTTATCATCAAAAGTTCGCCTACATCCTCCGCATCCAAAATATATGTATCTTCTTGTCCCGCTTCAAAGTCATCGTGAAGCCATTTGTCCATTAGAAGGGGTGTTGTTCTCCCCTTAGTGCCTAAAAAATACGGGCAAAATTGCCTTTCCACTTGTTGCGCAACAATGTTGCAAAAATGTTGCAATGTCGCGCGAATTATTACCAGTGCTGCAAGTTGCAGCAACTGCTACACAAGGTTGCACTGATGTCTCTTATGCGAAACATGTAATGCAACTTATAATGCGATAATGCTGCACAACCTTAAATGATCACGTTGTGGAGAGAACGTTAATTTTTAGTGCCAGGCAATGAACTATTTCAATGAGGAAAAACGTTTTTGAGTTTGAGTTCAAATTACAGTCAGGGCATTGTTTCGTTTCTATTAAATTGTACGATTAAATGTGTTTGTCTTATCGACAAAACATGCGTCCGAGCCGTTTACTCTGACACCCCGCTTAATACAGACACCTGAATAATACTGAATCTTCGATGTCAATATCAACCAGGTTACACTGCACTTGAAAGACGCATTACCTCATTGACTCAAGGACTCATTTGACTTATGAATACTTCGGTCTCAACCAACAATTATTTACCCGTTGAATATAGTTATTGACCCTTTGTGCAGCCAGGGTCACAATTATCAAATCTTACCAGTAATTGTGAGCATCACATTAGCGTTGGTACCAGCTTTTTTCCGGTCTCCAGTGAACACTGAAATGCAATAGATGGAGAGCCCTTCGCTTCCCAGTTTAGAAGGACGCCTTATGGAGCACTTCTTGCCAGGATCAGAGAGAAATTTGGATCTCAGATGTGCGATGGAAGTGTAGTCGTAAATGGTCTTTGCAGGTGGAAGTGACAAAGACAAAGGCATATTTTCTAAGGAGGAACGTGTACATTCTGTTACGTCAAGTGGCAATAGTGAAGCCAGTCTTACGTCAGCGAGGTCAAGCCATGGGTGAGTGGCGTGGTCCCAGGCTCTTGCGGGGTGGAGAACGAGGTGGGAGTCGTCAGGTTGTATTTCATGTAGTTGTATTTGAAGCTTGTATTGAATGCCGTCTCCTGACATGCGCTCTTCAAAATCAGCAGTCAGATAGTCGCGAGGTCTTACTTCGCTGCTCCAAGTTGAAAGAACGTTTTCGCAATGCCTACCTTTTCCTTCAAAGAAGATCGACTCACTCTGCACCCATCGACCACAAGGGAATTCGTAGAGCCTCTGAGGATCTTGGCTGCAGGTGATCATCACTTTCTCTACAAACCAGTCACTAAATAGTCCACCCTGATCATTGTCTAGTTTTATCATCAAAAGTTCGCCTACATCCTCCGCATCCAAAATATATGTATCTTCTTGTCCCGCTTCAAAGTCATCGTGAAGCCATTTGTCCATTAGAAGGGGTGTTGTTCTCCCCTTAGTGCCTAAAAAATACGGGCAAAATTGCCTTTCCACTTGTTGCGCAACAATGTTGCAAAAATGTTGCAATGTCGCGCGAATTATTACCAGTGCTGCAAGTTGCAGCAACTGCTACACAAGGTTGCACTGATGTCTCTTATGCGAAACATGTAATGCAACTTATAATGCGATAATGCTGCACAACCTTAAATGATCACGTTGTGGAGAGAACGTTAATTTTTAGTGCCAGGCAATGAACTATTTCAATGAGGAAAAACGTTTTTGAGTTTGAGTTCAAATTACAGTCAGGGCATTGTTTCGTTTCTATTAAATTGTACGATTAAATGTGTTTGTCCTATCGACAAAACATGCGTCCGAGCCGTTTACTCTGACACCCCGCTTAATACAGACACCTGAATAATACTGATTCTTCGATGTCAATATCAACCAGGTTACACTGCACTTGAAAGACGCATTACCTCATTGACTCAAGGACTCATTTGACTTATGAATACTTCGGTCTCAACCAACAATTATTTACCCGTTGAATATAGTTATTGACCCTTTGTGCAGCCAGGGTCACAATTATCAAATCTTACCAGTAATTGTGAGCATCACATTAGCGTTGGTACCAGCTTTTTTCCGGTCTCCAGTGAACACTGAAATGCAATAGATGGAGAGCCCTTCGCTTCCCAGTTTAGAAGGACGCCTTATGGAGCACTTCTTGCCAGGATCAGAGAGAAATTTGGATCTCAGATGTGCGATGGAAGTGTAGTCGTAAATGGTCTTTGCAGGTGGAAGTGACAAAGACAAAGGCATATTTTCTAAGGAGGAACGTGTACATTCTGTTACGTCAAGTGGCAATAGTGAAGCCAGTCTTACGTCAGCGAGGTCAAGCCATGGGTGAGTGGCGTGGTCCCAGGCTCTTGCGGGGTGGAGAACGAGGTGGGAGTCGTCAGGTTGTATTTCATGTAGTTGTATTTGAAGCTTGTATTGAATGCCGTCTCCTGACATGCGCTCTTCAAAATCAGCAGTCAGATAGTCGCGAGGTCTTACTTCGCTGCTCCATCGAGAAGTTTCCCTAAACGTACGCAATGAAAAAGAAATCCAAATGTTCAAAAGTGAGTGATGAATGGAATGGTCCCAGCATAACCTATTAGATTTTTCTATAGTAGAGTCAGGGTGCATCTTGGTAAATCGGCTTGTGCCGGGTTCATTGATATTATTATTTATTATATGGCTGTGTCTCACAAG